TTCAGAAGCAAAAAGGTCTGTGAAGGTGGGTGGGTCCTCTTTTACAGCTGAAAGCAGCTGAAACCCAGAGAGGGTGGGAAAAAAGGAAAACTGTCAAAGTCATGGGCAGCTGCAGGGTTGAGGATAAGGCTTATTTACTAGGGGGCATATAAAATGAGGCCCACCCTGCAGGACCGTGGAGAGGAGTTTTTTCTTGGTCCAATCTGGAAGTTTGAGATTTGGAACTGTTACCGTCAGCCCTGATGACACAGCACAGAGGAGGCTACTTTTCTGACGAAATGTATTGTGATGACGTCATAGCCATAATCATGATATTAGCTTCCCACCTTATAACCACAGCGGTTTTTCCATTACTCTGCTGTGATCCTCATACCCACCCTGTGAGGGAGGCAGGGTCAGTACAGTCACTTCTGTTTTAAAAATGAGGAAACTGAGTCTCGGCGAGGTGAGGGAGGTCACCCAAGGTCACAGGGTAAATACAAACTGCAGAGCTAGGTCTAGAAGCCAAGTGTTTTTAACTTCTAATCTAGTGTACTTTAAATAAAATAGTAATAAGATAAACCTTGACCACGGTTTGGTCTAGCACCCCAAGAGCAATGGCAGGGCCTGCGGGCCACTCACTTCTGAGAAAGGGGCTCTGTGCTGGCCGGGCAGACTGCCCCCCACAGCCACGGGCTGGTGCAGGTGCTGGGAGGGGGGTGATGCCCAGGGCACACTCTCCCCCTGACCCGAGAACACAGTGTCTTACACTGGAGAGCAAATAAGGTATCCCAGCCAAGCCCAGTGGAGTTCACCGCTGTGTCTCCCGGGTCGGTGGTCTGGGAGCAGAAATGCAGGTGGGACTCCTCGGGCCAGACCTGCCGGACCTGCCGGAGGAGCTGCGCGTCCAAAGCTGTGTCTGCAGCGCTCTAGCGGCCGGCCCTGTGCTCTCCCTGAACGAACGGTTCAGAATCATCCCGGTCCAACAACCTGGGTGAGAGACGTGGGCAGCAGCCCAGTCATCAAGACCATGGGGGGCCAGGAGGGAGACTCCGGGTCTTTGACCTGGGGGCGATGGGGACAGGGTGAGACGGGCTCTTCTTCTGAAACCACTCGGCGTGGAGAATGGATGGGGAGGGGACCGAATGAAAGCAGAGCGCGGGGGAGGGCAGGTGGAGGTGCCTGGGAGCAGCGTCAGGAATAGAAAGAAAGGGACGGATTTGAGAAATACGCTTCGGGAAGATGGCATTTCGTAGTTAATTATCAGTGGGGGCGTGGCATGAGAGAGGGAAAAGGAGAAAATATGCACAGCCTCGTAAAAAAATGGCCAGTTTCTTGGGTAAATAAAAAGTTCTTAAGGTTGGGAACATGACGGCCGGAGTCCAACCGCCCGGCGCGCTGTCTGCACACGGCGGCCAGGAGCGCGTCCTTTGCGGTCTCAGCGCTGTGAGCAGGCTTTCCGGGGTCCAGTCCGTGGTAGAAGAGTAAGGGTCTCGTCGGCTCTGAGTCTGGATATACTGTGGTCTCTTGGTTCACACTCCACGTGGGCTTTCGTGCTGTTCTGAGTTCTCTAGGGGTCCCAGCAAACTTGGATGCCTTGCCTGGGGCCCCGACTCCCGAGGGGTGAGCGGCTTAGCACCCCCACCCTGCCAAGAGAAGGCAGGGGGCACAGCCTGCCGAGAACCAGCATGGGCGACCCTCTGTGCACCCTCTTAAGAGCTAGTGCCTTGCATCTAAAGATCCACCTGAAGCCCCATGATCCTGCACATGGAGATTTTTGAATGTCAAGCACCAGGAAAAATGGCGAGAAGAAGAGGGAACAAAGGCGCTGGAACAGACAGACAGAGCTCCGCAGCCTGGGTCGCCTCTGGCCACCCTGGAGTCACCACGAGTTCTGGGCCCAGAGGCCTGTGTGGAGGGCCCACGGGGGTCTCCCTGGTGTGAATCGGGTTCTCCTGAGACTTCACTCCTCCCCGCAGACATCTGAGTGTCCAAGCTGGCCTAAAACAGCTATGCAGAGTATACTTTAAAGTTAGTCAGATTTGGAAACAATTACCAAAAGAAAAATAAAATAGTACATCCTCCGAGGCGTATTTTGGGCAGCCAAAATCAAGACAAAATCCAAATCGCACCATTTCCTAATTTTTGGGTGCCTAGTCACTCCAGGCGGCTTGACGAACCACAGAGCACCACCAACAGCCTCGCTAGTTCGGCAGCGACCTTTGCTCTATGGGAGGGTGGGGTTACCCTTATCACGGCACACAATGGGTTATAAAGCCCCGCCCGGCCGATCACCCGGGCGACTCAGACTGACCGCCCGCACCTGCTCACCTGCACCCCGGCCTGGAGACCACGCCCTCAGAGCTCAGCAAAAGCTCAGCCAGGCCGGGCACGGTGCCGGAGGGGGGGGGGTCCGATGCTACAGAAAAGTACAAATAAAAGTAAGGCGCTTTCTCCCTCCCCTTCAAAGGAACGCAGGGACTGGTCTTTGGGGGAGCTAACCTGTGCGTGTAACTCTACAGGAAAGTCGGGATGTGGAGGGCGTGTCTGACACACTGAGAGGGCACACTCCTCTTCGGGGCACAGCCAGCCCCTGGGAGAGAACCGGCAGCCGTTTTGGGCCAGAAGGCAAGGCCGGGAGGCAGCCTGCTGGCACCTGCGTGTGTGGGTGTGTGTGCGCATGCACACGCGCACTGTCTTCTTGCCCTGATCTGTGGGAAGAATGCACTTGTCAGGGTAGGGCACCCTTCACGTTTTGCACACTTACTGGATTTGTTCACAAAACAGCCTCGCTGTCCAGAATGAAAGGTGCGGGGTGTCTACACTGGACTGAGTTAATGATGCTCCACCTCCTGCCCCCGCTAAGGGCCTACAGACGCGGTGAAGAAGTACCGCCCTTACAACCACCCATGTCTGCTCCCATCCTAACCTTCTGAACATCTGCTCATAAAAGCAGAACAGAGCTCCTCGGAGCCTAAGCACGAAACTGAAATGAGCTCTTGAGTTTAGAAACAAATAAACTGAAAGTGAGAAACGGTGTCACTTAAAAAAAGTCTTTAAGGAGACTCAGATCCCACAGTGATCTTGGAGTCAGAACCCCTGTTCCCAAATGCCCAGGACAGGGGCCGCTCACTAAGGGTCACAGGGGGCGTGTGGACAACAGCTCCGTGCGGTTTATAACCTGAGGCAGTGCGGCTGTTGGCAATGACCACGAACGACCCATCCTTCTAAACCCTTGAATGGCACCACTTCATACGTAATTATGAACCTTCGTTAACAGCCACCAACTAGAAAGCAAGACGTATTCAAACTCATTTTCCCGCCATCCATTATTGTTTTACTATTAAGCCAAGGGAGAGAGTCACTTAATCCAACAGGTGATTCCTGACCCAACCTGCATTCACCGTGGCCCCAGAAGGAACGACTTGTTACGTGAGTACCCTCACAGCAGGGACAAAGGACGATTGCCCTGAGGAGTTACATACTGAGACTGGACCGGAATAAATGAAAGCCCACTGCTTCCTCCACACCAGGGTGGGGAAGCAGCTTGGGCTTCTGGTCCGGCACGACGCCTAACCCCAGAACTGAGTGACCAGAACGCTAGATCTCGATGACCTCTCCCAGCTCAAAACAAACGGGCCCCATGCAGAAATGCCGCCTGTGACGTGAGCACTGGGGGACGGCCAGGCCAGGCCTGCCCTGAGCTTCAGCCTGCTCTCTGCCTTCTGCCAGGCTCCTCTGTGCTTGAGGGACCCCTGGATACGTGGTTCCACTTCCAAAACTCCAACCCCAGGGGAGCAGGGGTCACTGGCGTCTGCAGAGCCATGGCCTTCAGTCTGCACCCAACTGAGAGGCAGGAATGAAGGCGCCCAGGTGGGAGGCTGGCTCTTGTAGCCCTGCTGATCCCGCTGGTTCCTACCAGCATCACACTGTTTACAACGAGGAGCAAGTTTGATGGGCCCGAAGGTACCTGAGAGCAAGGAGGCCCTGCCGGTGGATTCTGGGGCTGGAGCTGGGCCTCCACTGTTGCTCAGGGTCCCCACCCGCCACTCACAGCAGCATCTCAGTGGGACTAGATTGAGATAAGAGTGCACACTTGTCACCCTCCTGCCTAAACCCGCCCAAGTGGTGTTTACACTGTGCTTGTATGTCCAACATTTGTACACTTTACTGTCACACTTGAATTAAGAACGACTTTTTTTGTAAAACACCTTCCAGCATTTTGGAAATAAAACCCCGCCTTGCCCTACCCTGCCCCCCGCCCCGAGGGGAACCACGTGCGGCCACTGCGCAATGTGGCCACACTGCCTTCCTTCTGGGCCTCCACGCCAGCCCCACGCCGCCCCTCCTCACCCACCCGGCTTCAGGGGAGACACCACTGCCTGGAGAGGCCTGAATCCGGCCCCTGGTTCTCTGTTGTCTCCATTCTTTTCCTGGGCAGCCGTAGCTACGTGTGGCTTTGTTTACTGTCTCTCCCGTCAAACTGGGAACCGGCGGCTGCTCCCCAACCTAATTCCTGCTCACAGTCCCGAGTCTGGCACAGCGAGGGGTGCTCAAGAGTCTTTGCTCGACCGAAGTGTACGCTTTGGCAACAGGCCTCTGTGCCTCAGTTTCTTCCTCTGGAGAAGAGTGCCACCGTGGTGGCGGATCTGCCAGGAGCCGGTACTCGGGCTTCCCTCTCCCTGTTCCCAAGTTAAACAAATAACTCTGTCCACGTGAGCCCCTGCTGAAAGGTTGAGAGGTGCTAATCATTAGCCACTGGGGAAATAAAACCATTTGGTCTCCTTGGATGCTCCGTCACCCTTGGCCTATTTTCTTGAGGCTGAACCATCAGGGTTCCTTGATCTGGTCCTCAAAGACCTTTATTTTCCAACCTTGAAATCTGGGGGCTGGAACGCGCGGTCTGAGATGGTTCCAAGACCCCCTCCCACTGAGTATGTCCTTTTGAATCATGTTTCACAAATCTGGGGCCCCAGAGGGCTGCTCGTGTGTATAGAAAAGGAGATGCCGAAGCAGTTTACCTATGATGTTCACCGTACTGTCCACTTCATTTTTTATAGCTGAAGTCAGGACCGCATACTCAGGAGAAAGATCACTTACTCCATTACTAAGCCCCAAAGATGACTCAACTGGTTCTTGCTAGGAAGAAGAAAAGAAAAAAGAATTGAGAACACTTCCTTTTCCCTCCCTTTCCTCAGCTTAAACTCTATCCTCTGTCTACTTTCTTTAAGGTTAGGGTCACCCCCTTATTCTGCGCAGTGTCCCTCCTCCGAGGATGTGGTACCAGCACATCTGCCTGCCTTTCTGACATGCTTATACCTGCGCACAGTGGCCTGGGTTCAGCAGAGCTGCGTGAGTGTCTAGGTCAGGGGCTGTCAAAGTCATTTCCACCGGGGGGTCACATTGGCCTCGCGGTTGCCTTCAAAAGGCCGAAATAATTTTAGGACTGTCTAAATGGAACTACTCCTTAACTGTTAAGGAGTTGAAATTACATTTGGTCCTTTGAAAGGCAACCAGGAGGCCGCTGGGGCCCCCGGTGGAAATGACTTTGACACCCCTGGTCTATATCAAGTGCCTGGCGCCTAGATTTCATGTCCTTCTGGAAGGGAGGGGGTGCTCCAAAGGGCAGACTCCTGGCTTTCTCTCAAAGGGGGAGCCACGCCACCTCTTTTACAATGCCGTCTGAGGAAGAGCTCTTCCCTGCATTTCCAAGGAAAGTGATCTCAACCACTGGCCCAAGGACAGGAACCCAGAGGACACTGTGGATGAATTCTCCTCAGATACGGTTTGCCCTGGACTCTGGCCACTCGAGCTTCCTGCCCTGGGCAGGCGGCTGGTAACTCGGGCCAGACTCACAGCCGAAGTCTCCCTCCCCTGATGGAGTCCAGTCGAGCAACCCACACCCACGGCTTCACAGAGATGCCTCCTAAGGGCCCGAATGTCCCACGCAGCTCAAGAGGCCGCACATTCACGTTGAAGGAACAATGAGACAGATTTCCTTTTCCTTACACAGTCCTCTCCGTTCTGCTTTACTCTTGTGTGCCATAACCCTCCGGTCTCGGAGAGTGCCAGCCAACCCCGGGAGACCCGGCCCGGAGGTGCGCTGTGACTTCCAACATTCTGTAAAACTGCACTTGAGTCTGTGATAGCGATGGAGCCAGACAAAAAAAAAAAAAAGAGCCACACAGGACAAGTCCTTTAGGAAACCAAAATGGAGAGGAGGGTGGAGGAGCAGAAAGAACACAAGACAAGAGCGTAGAATCACATGAGGCTGGTATGACCGTGCTTTGAAAAATCCAGAGTGTTGAACACCTCCTAAGGCACGTGGGGCATTTTTATCAATTTATTTATGCGCTACTTGGAATCAACGATGAACCTCCCCACCCAAAGTGACTTAGGGAAGTCACTCAGGGAAGAAGGAGAAATGTCCTCCTCCTTCCCGATCCCACCTGGCAAGTTCCTACCACCACAGCTGCAACGTCAAAGACATCACTTCACTGTAACAGCTCAGTTCCAAACACGGACAAAAGAAACCACACGCTGCATGGCTGGCCCGATGTGCCAAAGGGGGAACATTAGGAGAGTCCAGGACAGCCTTGCTGGGCAGAACTGTTCCCCCTTTCTCCTGCAGCCTCTCACATCTTCCCCTCTTGAACAAGTTGCAGATAAGAAGGCTGTCCTTTCTGGGAAAAAACTCACCGGCTGGTGACCTGAGTCACCGTCCTCTCTTCCTTCAGAGCCAAACTTCTGAGTAAGTATCTGCCCTCTCCACCTTCGCCCCGGCACCCTGGTTAGAGGCTGAGTCCGCTGCCTCTGCGCTTGAGGATTCAAGCGTCTGGCTCCCTGTGGCTTGGGGGGGGGGGGGGGGGGGTGGTGCAGGGAAAGACAGGCCTGGCTTTGCAGTCACGTGGGCCTGGGCTCAAAGCCTGGCTCCGCCACCTCTCACTAGTTCAGGACTTTCTTAACCTCTTTCAGCCTCTCTTAGGGCCTGCAGGGCAGCTGTCAACAGAGGAAAACCCACCAGGACCAATGTCATAAAGATGAGATATGGAGACTAAACGAGATAAACACGCACCTGGCACTCACTTAAAAAAGTGCTCGCTGTTCTGTGCTGCTGCCAGTAAAACTCTGCCTGCCCAAGTTCACTGCCGTCTCCTCAAGGCCCTTTCCCGTAATGCTGGACTCTGACGCCCACCAGGCAGACCTGCGAGCTGCCTCCTGATGAGATGAACACCTGACGCGGCCGCGGGTCCCCACCTTTCCGATGGCACCTTCCTTCTCACCCGGTTCCTCGATGGCTGTGCCCTCTGCACGTCCCTTCCCCAATCACACCCTGTGTTTCACTCACTTCCATTTCCTCAATTCCCTCCAAAGCAACTAGAGAACATGTGAAGGAATTATGGAAAGAACTGCTCGTTTTTATGGGTTTCTTTTGTTATTGTTTACTCACTCAGCTGCTAGGTTTCTCATTAAAGTAATGAGCCAGTCAGACGTGCATATACTCAAAAACCTAAATTATTCTGATTGCTCAACGGAAGACCTCTCAGTGTTCCACAGGATCTATAGTTTAATTAGAGGCAAGTGATATGTTATCACTTCACACTTGAGAAAACTGTGACTCAGAGACGAAATTCATTTTCCAAGGTCATACTTCTTTTAGCCCAAAGAGACACTGGAACTAAACTCTGTCTCTGATCGTGAGACACGGTCCCATTCCAGGAGCTTTCCATGTGAACGAGCCCACGTCCCACCCTAATTCCAGCAGAGACCGGACAGACTGTTCCCAGTGCGGTTCCCTCGTGCGTCCCTGCCCTGAACCCTGCCCTGCGTCCGGACCGGAACAGCAGAGTCTCCCGGTGGAGACCGAGCGTGACTAGCCTCCTCCCACCCCCCTTCAAACACAGCCTGTCGGCTTCACAGTCTCCAGGGCTACCAGTTCCTCGGTACAACCACTCTGGAAGGACAATGTCGTCAGCTGCGCAGTGAGCTGGACCCAGGGCTCCCCTAGAAAGGTGTCCATCCGGGGTGCAGAGGACCAGGGACCTTCGCTACACTCAGTGGGAAGTTGTGGAATGACTGGCGTAGGAATACCCAAACCCAAACCCTGTGTCTCCGCATTTAAAGGGAGAAACCCAAAACAAAACCGGGTTGTACAGTTCCCCACAGAACATGTGTTCGGAGACCCCACGGGTCGAGAACAGCCTTCGTCCACAGTGCCTCCCGGTCCCCCACGTGTGCACTCGGCCTGTCCCCACCTGACGCACCCTAACCGGGCCTGGTTCACCCTCACCCGGCCTCCTCTTCCAGTTCCCTTCCTACTTCAGATACGGGCTCTTCCCTAAATCAGGCTGTCCTGCTTTGCAACCCTCTCAGCTCACCCCAAGAAAACCAAAAGGAAAAGATGGCACTTGGGTTCAGAGTCCTCCCTGGTGCATTAACTCTGCCAAACACTTATGCCCGACAACCTTTTTTTCTCATTATAAAATCCAAGTTTTGGTCTACAGGTTAAGGGATTTCCGAAGACAGCAAACCAGCATCAGAGAGAGTTGAGGGGCAGGGCAGCCTCTCTTACCCTTTCAAATAACGCACCTCTGGTTGGTCTTGAGGCCATACATGCTTAGGTCACAGGACAGCAAGCTCCAAGCCCATCTGTCTCGTCCCTGTGCCACCATCCCTTGTCTGCATGTCCCATCCCCGAAGCCGGATATAATGGCCATAAGCCCATTTCCCACCCCAATCCATCTCCTGAGTACCCTGGTTCACCTCTGCAAAGCCAGTCTCCTTGAAGCCACACTGAAGAGCTTCCCCACGGCTCTCATTGACAACAATTTCGAGCTGACAGCTGGGCTTCATAAAAGGAGTCCGGGGGAGGCACGGTGCGCCCACCGAGGCCACGAGACCACTGGGAACAGGAGCTCTAGTAAAACTCGCTGAAGCCTCCCTCCTGGTCCTAGAACTGCCCCCCCCCTTCTTTTCCTGGGAACTGGATCGACCTCATTCTTGTCCTCCCCGCTCTCACTGAAACTTCCCCTTTGACCTTACTCCTGGCTCACTTTTCTTCCCGCCTCCTCCTCAGTCTCCGTCTGTGATGATACAGCTTCTCTGTTGGAGGGGGCAAGGCCTCTCTGACAGCGTCCTTGAGTACATGACCACACACCTGTCCGCCGGTCAGACGTTCGCTTTAGAGGCTCCCTGGCGTTTCAAACTCACTATGTTCCAAGTTAAACTCACCCTTCACAAAACATGCGCCATTCCTGACAAGCCCCTTGGGAGGGCTGGAAACTCGGGACCCCCGCTGACCCACTCCTGTCTTCGTCCTCTGTACTCCCTTCCCTCCTGCGGAGCAACGTCCCTTCCTCCCCAGCCCACCTGCCACCCTCCTCATCTGAGCTCCTTACGGCAGCCTCTCCTGCCTCGTCCCTTCCTCGCTCCATGAGAAACACTGGCCTCAAACACCCATCTCATCACACTCCACGTCCTCCCCAGGGAGCTCGGCCGTGGCTTGCTTCACCAGATCACCCACAGAGGTTTTTCAGACAACCAGTCTGCACACCTGCTCTGAGCAGTCGCCTTCCGGTGAAGACGTAAAAACTGAAGACCTCTTGCAACCAGGGAAGGGACCGCTCTAGTATCTGCCCTGACAGGTGGTCATCTGGCTTATCTTGGGACAGGGACAAGGAGCTGTTGTCTTTATTTAATCCAGCTGCAGTCACTGTTAGAACCAACTGCTCCATTAGGAAGTTCCGCTAAACCACTCCCTGCTTTCTGCACCTTCTCCCCGGATCCGCACTCAGAACCAGCACGGGCCAGGCCTACTCCCGACCCAGTGACTCGAGTGGTCCTCCCCCACTCTATTTTCCACCATAACACCAATTCTTTGATCTGAAAACTCTTTATAATTTCAAAGCATGCGTCTTTCATCTGAGAACAATCCTCAGAAGCAGGAAGCATTAGTTGCTGATCCTCCCTACTTATGTGGCTTTGCTTCCCATTGTCCCCTCCACCCACCTCCGGCGGTGACGAAGCCAGTTTCCTGACTCACCCACAGAAGACCACACAGCAACTCCAAGCTCCAGGCCCTCGTGCAGGACGCCCCTGGGTGCTAGGCAACGGGCTCCATTTTATTTGACCCACCCCCTGGGGCCCGGCTCAGACCCTGGGGCCTCGAAGCAGCTGGGAGGCCCTGAGCCTGGTCACAGACCACAGGTTCTAGGGTTGGACTCACTTGGGTTAAAAGTCCAGCTCTGCAAAGCAGTGCAACCTCAGGGAAATCACTCAGCCTCTCTGTGCCCCCACCCCCTCGTGTGCAGAAGGGAGATAACCTGCCCATCACAGGGGCCCAAATGAGATGATCATTTGAGCCTCGCACTTGGCAAAGGCCCACAAATGTCAGCGACCATGCCTGTGTTTTACTCATCTCTATCCTCGTTGATCTTGACATTGTGGCACTTTTGAAATACATATATGCACTGGTAATGTACAATCCAGTACTGACTCACTGTCGTGTTCCTGATTTTTACTTCCTTCCTATACTCCTTTTACTTTAACTTCCTTAGTTACCTCCACGCAGGTGGGCCAAGCGAGAACAGCGTACGCAGGAGGCACTCCTTGGGGGAGAGCCAGGGAACGCGGCAGCAGCATCTCCCACCTGTGACGTGGCCAACGGGCCGCGGGCCTCCCTGTCTCAGGGAGGCCGTTTGCTGAGAGGGCACTCGGCATGGAGACAAGCCGCCCGTGGGACCCAGAACAACGCCGACCACTGGTCTGCACGCCCTGCACACCCTTTGCTTATTGAAACCTCAGTCCACCTCGCACTGAACGAGGACTGGGAAGAGCTTGCTTCCACAGCCGACTGCACACCTCGAAACATCACACACGCCAGACTCCCTCAGCGGAAGGAACCCACGGAGCACGTTCGGCAGCAGGTTCGCACAGGACACGCGCACTCCGAGCTTAGCTGTTTTCGAACACCACCAAAGTAGTGGCCTACTGGCTGAGGACAGATAAGGCCGTGTGATGGCACGATTCCAGACTCCCCGGAGTGGACTTTGGAGACATCCTACAGAAGCAGTAAGAGAACACTATGGCATCGGCGGCCACCAGCCACAGAACCTGGGGGCCCTCGTCCACATTCCACTGTAGGACAGGTGCCCACAAATTTCAATTCAAAAGATGAAATCACCTGCCTCCTGCTGAGGGGACAACGTCCCTGTCAGAGGACAGTTTCCGGCATTAGCCACATCTTCATCTTCACAGAAGATGTCACAGTGTGCACTGGGCCGAGACGGACTTGACCTAAGAGGGGCCTGTCCCTTGCTTTCCTGGGCTGCTGTGGCCGAGGCTCCGCAGGGCTGTGCCTCCCATGACTTGTTCATCTGAGGGGCCATGTGGAAGACACTGCCACTGCTGACATGACCCAAGTGTCCTTTACTTAGGAGAACACCACGTGTCATCTAGTCTACGATGCACCTGCCCACCTCCCTGAAACGGGATGTGCCTTGTAATCAATTCTGCGCTGTGGTTTTGTTGGAAGCAGTTTTTCTTGTTTGGAGAGATACACAAAGTACTGTTGAAAGGCGAGCATCTGTTACTGCATTATCACTTCTCCACTAACTACCTCCTAGTAAAACCGTCTCCTGCCCCACGTGCTGTGTTTGTCTATGCATCTACTGTGTCAGCGAACACTCGGGCGTGTACTCGGTGGTCACACACGCAGCGGCCATTCGTTCTGCACCAGGCACCACGCCAGACGCCATGAGAGCAGCAGGAAGCAGGATCTCGCGTCACCCTGAAGATTACAGCAACTTCTTCAAAGTCACAAACTGGTGGGGAAGTTACACTTTTCTGACTGGACAACACTAATCAAAACTCCAAACTCTGGGAGACCTGATACAAGAAATAACGACATTTCTTGAATTACAACGAAAGATAAAAGTTTTTTAAAAGTGAGGTAGGGGCGACCTGTGTATCACAAAGCGCTGCAGAGACACGCCCACCCGGCACCAGCGTGCACCTGACACGCACCTCAATTCCAGTGAACAGACGGCACCAAAATTCGAACACTGATGAGGCAACTGCAGATCTGAACACCGGATGTTTGGTGGTACTGGGGAATTAAAGGCTGCCTGTCTTTGAAAGATCGATACTGAAATATTTATGGAAGAAAGGATAGGATGTCTGGAATTTGTCTCAAAATGTTGAGCTAAACCCCGCGACATTGTTTACGTAGGTCAGACATGATTAATACCAAAGTTGGGGGGACAGCCCAGGAATAAATTTTACCTGTCTCTCCCCTTCCTGAGTGTATAAAACTTTTCTACAATAAAAAGTTACAACAAAGTGGGCCTTCCTACGTTGCTGTGTTAAAAATGAGTCAAAAACTAAAAATACTGAAAATGAAACTGGGGGTATGGTTATTAAAATTCTCTGCCCAAAATATTTTTTTCCGTTCTAGAGAAAGTATGTCTGAAACATTAACTGTTTCCCTAAGTTTTCCTTCAAACTCTACCTTCACAAGTCTAACTTTGTATCTGAACTAAGTTTTTAAACATTTTTTCCTCCTAGATTGACACACTGGCTTAGTTTTTTAAACACTGTACTGTCTTGCACAGTTTGGTTTTTTTCCTTCAACAGTTGACTCTAGATTAGAAATCAGGATCCTTGGCATCTCCTTTAAGTTCAGTTCTAAGTAATGGTGTGACCTTGGCCACGTGACCCACAGACATCACTCAGCTCCCTGGAGCCTTAGTTTCTCCGTCTGCCAACAGAGCACACCGACTCTACCGGTCTGGGGACCTGGGGCCGCAGCGTCTGCCCCCCTCCTGGCAGCTGAAGCCCATCGTCTGTTTTACACGGGACGTCTGACTGCCCTCTGGCTCATTGGCAGGGGCTACCCAACCTGCACACGTACTGAAGGGGATCTCAGACCTCACAGCCTCCTGAAAAGCTCACACACACACACACACACACACACACACACACCCCTTGATGGAAAACCTTGGGGAAGGCTGCTCTCACGGTGGAGCAGAAAAAAACTCCTGAGAGCCCCACGCTAACCCAGTGCTGGATCTCAGCGAGCTCCCCCACCTAACAGCCCACCACGGACTGTATCTACAACCTACAGGTAACCCATTCTAATACAAGTAGATGGTGCTTCACGTAGTACTTTAAAATATAATTAATAGCCTGAAAATGTACTTCGTATCATCAGGTAGCAGCAGGCTGCTGGAGCGGAGGTGGTACTAGGTGACCAGCTGGCGGTAATGTGGGGACCAGGGGGAGGCTTGGGACCGTCCAGCTCCGTGTGAGTTTGGGACTCATTCCTAAATTTCTCAGTGAAACTGGATGAAGCAGGGGTACGTGTACATGCGTCTGCAGGTGGGGGCAGGCCAACGAAGAGACGTGCAAAGCACACAAAACACAACAGCAGCAGAAGAGAGATTAAGTATTTCCCAGGGGTCACATTACTCGTTTTTAGGAAACGGAATATGAATCACTAACGTGGTCCCAAGTTTGGCCTTCGCCCCGAACAACCGAAGATTACCTTGATGTGCTTCACTCTGTCTTCCTTTTCTGTCTTTGGTTTCTTTCCTGTGGCAACAGAAAATAGTTTGGGATTAACCCACAAAGAACGTAACAGAGAAACAATCTCCCCTAAGCTAAAGGCTTTCTAGAACTCTCTGTGAACCTGGATGCGCTTAAATCTGTCCATGGCCAAAACTCCGAATGTGTTACTGCCTTCGGTGACCTGAAAGTCATGGTCCCCAGCCAGGTAAAGGCAGAATTATCATCCACGGGGTGAATTACAGACGCAGAAACAAATCCCAAAGGTACTACAATATATATTAAGTGGTCCTTGTGTTAGTCGGCAAATCTCTCTCTTTTTTTTTAAGATTTTATTTATTTATCCGTAGAGGGGAAGGGAAGGAGAGAGGGAGAGAAACATCAATGTATGGTTGCCTTCGTGGGTCCCCTGCTGGGAACTGGCCTGCAGGGAACTGGCCTGCAACCTGGTATGTGCCCTGACTGGGAATCGAACCGCGATTGTCTGGTTCGCAGGCCCGCGCTCAATGCACTGAGCTACACCAGCCAGGGCAGTCGGCAAATCTCTTAATCTACCTTTTTTAGAAGGCCGCTCAGATAAGGGCAACATCCGGTAGACTCTGAAGGCATTATTTCCTTTCTTTATGCTTTTATCCTTGACTTCTTCGATGTCGGGCAAGGAGTTCATGGCACACCGGAAATTCGCCTTCCATGTTTTGGGATCAGGTTTATCTACTCCTGGTTGATGCTTTCCTAACAAAACAGCCAAAAGAATTAAGGTTAGGGGAGAGGGGGTTGGGGAAGGAGACACAGAGTAAACACTTCTGGGAACACAGGCTTGCTTGCTGGCCAAGCCGAGAGAGCACCCTCTCAGCCCCAGGCTGTGCCTGCAGCAACCTATGCCCTGGCGTGCCCAGGACGGAGCAGGTTCTTGGGATGTGGGAATTTTTGTTTTAAGACTTGGACAGTTGCGGGTAAGTGGGTGCAAGCTGGTCACCCTGACTTTGCCAAAGAGCTTGAGAAAAAATTAATAATGGGAGAAAAATTAATAATGGGAGAAGAATGGGGAATCAGTATAAGTACCATAGAAGGCTGGCAGACAAGAAGGCCAATAAGCCCAGGTCACGGTGTCTCTTTTCCATGTGATTCTCAAATATTAAGTAAAAAGTCCACTCCTGGAAATAGCTCCCTACTTACATTTTATTGTCGATAAATAAATTCTTGGCTACTTTTGGGGGAGGCAAATTCAACCCAAGTTCACAGCTGCAGAACAAAGTTCTTGGTTACCCTGGTACATGCCTGGGGAACAGAGTTCTACACCACAGGGAACACGAGGGCTTAGGTTTCTGTGGGGAGGGTGGAACATCACTTCTGAGCCATGAATTCTGACCCCGTGTCCTGGGTGTGCCTGGGGACAGGTTTTCCAGCGCTGTCTTCATGAGACCATGATCCAGCAGATGCAATATATGTAGTACAAACAAAAATAAACACTGTAGTGTACAACTGAAATTTGCTGAGGGAGTAGAACTTAAATGCTCCCAGTAAAAAAACCTCATAATGGAAAGGAAATAGGTGAGGCAATAAGTGAATTCACCAACTGAAGGGGCTGCATCTTTTCACAAGGCTCACTTAGATCAAATCATGACTTTCAATATCTTATAGTTTTATTTATCAATTATACCACAATTAATTGTTTTAATTTTTAAAAGATTGTATTTGTTTGTTTTGAGAGAGAGGGGAGGGAGGGAGAAAGAGACACATCAATGTGAGAGAGAAAAATTAATCAACTGCCTCTCGTATGCACCCTGATGAGACCAAGCCCACAACCCAGGCATGTGCTCAAACCAGCAACCTTTCACTTGGTGGAGTGATGCCCGACCCACTGAGCCAGAAGGCATGAAAACAACAACAAAAAGCAACGGTGCCACCTCTGTAAGTGACGCAGGGGTGTCAGTACCTGTGTGGATTGCCCAGTTTCTAAAGAGTGGTGCATCCTTCTCCACGTCCCACCCATGTCTAGCTGCGTGCATCCAGGGGATCTGAAAAATCTTCTTTTCCTGGAAAAAAAAATAAGTAAGTAAGAACTGTACCCATAGCTTTCAGGCCACCACTGAGGAGGGTTCTTAAGGTCTAACTAGTAGGATTCCCACTAAGGATCACTGGGCCTGTTGAGTTTCCATGGTAAAATCTACTGTAAACCAACCCATTCCCCACTGGACCCCAAATCTTGACCGTCGACCTGGCTGAGATTCAGAGTCATGCAGCGTCCGGCAGAACAGGAATGCAGTCCGAGGTCCCAGGGGACAATTTGGGACATGCCATTGTGTTCTGTTTTCTGTGCCATTTTTCTCGAAAGAACCGTAGACAACTGGCACCTGACGGAAACGTCTCATGCTTATTCTTATCCTTTATTTCCATTATTTGGTAAAGAGAAACTCCAGCTGCCTCAGTAAATCAAAAAGTAGGCAACTCTCCAAAACACCCATTTGTGCTGTGAAAGGGAAGTTGGGGCCAGGAAGCCAAGGTCACGGCGACCAACACGTCCCCGGGTGTGGGTGGCCCCCGGAAGCAGGAGATCCTACCTGGTGTTCTAGCGTCTGTGTGCCCACTGCCCGGCGTGCGGCAGCAAGCGGTACAAAGACCATCGATTACGCAGCCGGGACGCTCTGTCTTTAGAGCAAAGCCCCTCCATAAAATCCGTCTTCCCTTGGGCCTTCCCGTCTTTCATGTGTCGAAGACACTAGCATTTCAGAAACAAGGTCACACACGTGGTAAAACCACATGTGCGCAGCCTGGTTCCACCAGCAGCGCCGGCAGTCGCCAAGGTCCCGGCACCTTCCGTGTGGCTATACGTGCTCCCACAGTCTGTTCTGCTTCTCGTAACGACCGCACGAGCTACATCTATGTTATTACTTCCACGTCGCAGTTGAAGCAGCTGAGGCACAGGACTGGGTTACTGAGCGCAGGTGCACAGGGCAGAAAAGCGTCTGAATTCTACAGCGAGGCAGGTGAGCCCATCTTCATTCGCTCGTCACAGCGCACCTTGTCTCCCAGGGTTTAGATTTACAAGGTTTTCGGGTTTTTGACAGATCTGTTGACTTGGATTCTACAGTGACAAAAGCCCAGGAAAATGGGTATTTTTAAAGCTCTCCAGCTCGTTCTGATCATCCCCGGGTCTGGGGATGCCTGCGCAACCCACTGGGGAAGGGAAGAAACTCACTTGGGAGTTTCTGCCAGGTCGGTCTCCTCGCACAAGGCAGAGCGTGTCCCGGCCGAACCGAAAGGGGCCTGTGCACAGAACCCACTACACAGCCTGAACTAAGAGTATGTCAGGACATTTGAGAGTTCCCCAAAAAGTGCTGAAAGGGAAAATTCTGCTGTGTCTAACACTCCATAAGTGAAGAAGAACTGAAAGTGGGAGGCTTTTTATAAACCCGCCCTGTTCCCTCGGCAGCACCCACCAACAAGGCAGCGTCGGGCAGGCCATTTTCAAAAGAGCCGCCCTCGGAAAAGGGCTGAAAGAGACTTCATTTTTAATGCAGATGAAAATCGGAGAGGAAATCACCTGTTGCAGTTTTTGACATTCACGTGAAAAATGAAGAACAGTGAAAACACACTTATTTCCATGAAAGGACTTTCCCCTGGACAGCACAACCCGAATCTAAAGGTTTGTGCCTCCAGGTTCAGAAAGAACTGGCTGCTGTGCGTTTTTCTAGGTCAAAGGAGCCCCAGGGTGCCGCAGTCTGAAATCTGTGAGACACAGAGCAGACCCCCGATAGGTAGATCTTCCCAGTGTTTGCGCACAGGCAGGCTGACGCACACACACCAGCTAATCTAGTGTCACAGAGACCTTGCCAACGTTACCCAGCTACGAACGTGCTCATGGAACCTGGCAAATTTCCAGCATGGACCCTCCTGGAACAGGCAAAGGACCTGAGAAGACCAAACACCCGGCCAGTGGGCAGGTAAAGCGATGCTCAGCACCAGTATCACCAGGGAAATGCAAAGCACAACAGTAACGAGATGCCATTTCATACCCACTAGGGTCAAAAAATAATAATAGTAAGTGTTGGTGATGATGTGGAAAAACCAGACCCCCCATACAGTGCCCGTGGGAATGGAAAAGGGGGCAGCTGCTGTGGAACGCAATTTGGCTGTTACTCAAAAAGTTAAACACAGTTAAGTTATCACACCACCCAATAATTTTACTCTCAGATAGATGCCCAAAGAATTACAAACAGGTGTTCCAATGAATACCTGTACATGAAAGTTCATGGCAACACTAATGGGTAAAGAAAATGTCGTGTGTGTATAAAACAAAAGAGTATTCAGTGCTGACACGTATATGCTGTAACATGGATATCCCTTATAAATATTATGCAAGAAGCCAGACGGAAAACGCCACGTTATGTGATTCCATTCAGGTGAAGTGTCCAGTCTAGGCAAATCCACAGACCCAGAAAGCAGGCTCGTGGTAGCCACGAACCAGGGGAAGGAAACAGACAGTGAGCACTCGATGAGGTCAGCGTTTCCTCTTCGGTGATGAAGGAGTTTGGAGTTAGCCAGTGGCGATGGTTACATCACATGGTGAGTGTCCCAAATGCCACTGAATTGGACACTTCAACATGGTAAACTGAAAAAAAAAAACTGCACGGAACTGTTAACTAGTTTTTCATACAGAAAAAAGAAAGAAAGAAAGAAACCACTAATGAACGTATCCCACACATATTTTTTTAAAGACCATGCTGAAAGGTAAAGGTGAAATTCACTTCACAACCAATAGAGGTTCTGACCAGTAAACATTCTGGTCGTAGGTGACTGTGTCCCATAGGGTGGTGATGGCGCTGCTCTGCATCTGTGCAGACTGTGACATCAGCGTGTGCCCTCAGAAGCCCCAAGTGCCCAGCCCGCACGCAGGGAAGGACTCATGTGCCACAGTCCACTCATGCTGGCATCCAAGAGCAGGAGAGGTAAGCACTGTCTGAGTTGAGAGGAACACTGAAGATTATCTTGAGTAACGCAGAACAAACACACCTTGGCCCCAAGTGGAAGTCAGTTCTCTTATCTCCCTCTGCCTCTTCTCTCCCCAATACTTACAGGACTCTCCGATTTCATTTGCTGTTTTTGTTTGAATTCCTTACCCTGTTCCAAGATGGCCTGATATTTACCCAAGCAGGAGCCTGCTTTCAGGGAAGAGAAGGGGAAGGCCTAGACCTGGCCACTGACCTCCGTGCTTGGTGAGTGGCGTGGCCGGGTCCAGGCAGACCTCAGTGGGGAGAGCAGGACACTGAACACCAGTGTGGGCTCTGATCGGGGCCCTGAGAGAAACGATGACCCGGACATGGCTGCCTCCTTCCCTCCCCTAGAAGTGGCCCAGGAAAGTTACGAGCCAGCATCTGGGCCAAATCAGAACCGCCCTGGTCCCTTCAACAAGTCAAAGGGAAGAAGGCCAAAAAGGGGGGTGTGCTGTCCACAACCTGGAGAGACTCCGAGTCACAACCACCAGACATACCTTTCTCGGACCGTCTTCAAATTCTCATTGATGAGATGAATTGTAAAAAGGTGTCTGGGGAATATGCGAGGCATTTTGAATATGAAAGGGGCAGTGATGATACTGAGAACTTATGACTGAGTTTTCTAATTGACACAGTATTCTGAATACTTGAGAAAACGTGAAGTCTTGTAGGTGTACATGGTCAGGGAGTTGCTCTAAAATACCACGCATGCACGCATGCACACACACATGCACACACACACACAAGGTAAAACAAAATGTCGAGAATGGCTAAATCCAGATGAGAATTTGTTGCACCACGCTTTCTGGTCCTGAGGCTGTTCAAACAATCTGTGCATACTTGCAAACACTCACAGTAAAAAGTAGGCGGCCCCGGCCAAGGCCACATTCATGAGTTACAGCGCTGCTAGGACTACTTCCCCACTGGTCCTTCTGAGGGATCCAAAGGACCCCTTTCCTCACCACCTTGCCCCCAATTTATTCAAAATAGGAGAAAGAAGGAAAACAAATATATTCAAATCCAATACCACTTTTACATTAAAAATAAGTGAAGAAAAATAAGGTGATTGAAGGAAAAGGAGCCAAAAGAAATCAGATCCAAGAGATATCTGAAGTGATCCAAAGACACCAGAAGTGATAGTAGCTTTTTAAAGATCGAGTTGCAATAACCTGTCTGCTTGTTAGAAGCAGCCACAGTCCGGCTTTGAGCTCTCGGCACGTGACACAGCGATAAGGCCTGACCCGCTACGTGATTCACTGGGTCCTTCAGATTAAAAATGAGGGGGAGGTGGAAGAGGAAAAGGCATTTGCTCAGAACTGCCACATTCCTGCTGGTCGGGGAGAAAACTCCCTCTGGCCCTTTGAAGGAAGCCACAGTCTTACATTTAGCTGCTTTTCTACATTACAGCTACATCATTTCAGACGTTCCTTATTTTTAGGGATACTGTCTTCCTTATTCACCCCTGCCAGGAAGGACCAATTAAACTGAGAGGTTGAGGTGGGTAAAGTAAGGAGTGTATGTTTACATGGGGGATGGGGAGGAATGATATGATGCTTCTTTTTTAGGACAGGTGAGCACCCAAACAAGGTTTCACAGTAAAGATAAACAGAAGACATTTTTATATCACTATGCTGTACACCCGAAACTAAAATAATACTGAAATTCAACTGTAATTCAAAAATAAAAAGTGAAAAAAATTTTAAGAGAAAACTATTTTAAAATACAAAAGTGTTCTTCCCAAAAAATGAATATTGGAAAACCACCCATATGCTCCACTCCCAGCATCAAACCCTAGGGCCTCCGTGTCCTCCGACCCCACAAAGCCAGGAGAAGCAAGCGAGGAATTTGGAGAAAAGGAAGAGGGTGAGAAAAATATGGCCAGAAGCTTCCCGTAAACAGTGGTGCAAAAGAACGGTGAGCTGGCACCGTAAGTCAGTGGGAGGCTACAGTACGAGATGATGACCAAAATCTTTATACAATAACTGTCATCTTACCATCACTTTTGCTTGGTTGATCTTTCCTTTTTTTTTTTTTTTTGACAATTCATAAATGGAAGATTTTGAACACTTCTACTTTCGGAGATCCACAGGCACAAGCTTTATAAGGATCTCACACACACACACACACACTCACTCACTCACCTTGTTCAGCCACTTCAGCCCTGGTATCGTGTTGGAGTTTATCTGCTCCTCCAGCCATGGGCGCATGCGCATCCTTTCCACCGGCATGGTGCCCCTCTGTGGAGAGAAAGTCACCATCAGGCACTCAGATCGCTAACTGTCCTGTCCACACAGCAGAGTTCTACGCCCCGGCCCAACCCTCTTCTACTGACCCCTTCCTCATCACTGCACAGCTTATGTGTCCATGGAGGGTGGGACAGGGGCACAGTAAGGGCTCTGCCCCCAGCCCTCTGCCCCAGTGTGAGCAGTCGGTCTCAGTGGAGAGCACTGTCCCTGCAGCCTGAGCCTGCTCTCAGCAGGGTCCCAGGGACCGTGGCTGGACTGGCAGGGACTCAGCCACCGGGAGGGCCCAGCCACCTTCTGGTGACCTTGCCTAGAGCTAGGCCTTAGCCCTCCCAACCAGCCTGTGTTTACAGCAAACACCTCCACCGCCCCAGGCGCTCCTTCTCAGGGACAGTGCAGACCATCCTGGGAGAGGTGTACTATAACCAATTCATTCCTTGGGGGTGTCTGGGCTACAGAAATGCATCGAACCCCCAGTATTGCCACTTTCAAGCTCTAGAGAAATCACTTCCCTTGGGTGCAAGGTCCCACACCAAATCGCACCCCCTCCTGGGTCCTCTGCTCTCAGGGCATCCTGCTGGGCTTCCGCCCGGTTCTCCGTGAGTGCTCGCTCTCATTCCCTCCCTCAGGGGCCTTTCCTTCCTGACGCCTCCCCTGCCTCCAGCCTGACAGCTTCCTCTCCTCTTTTTCCCTTTTAACCTACTTTCCCTCTGAAAATTGTTTCCTGGGATAAACACCTTTCCTCTACCAGCTCACATAACACTGGTCCCTCCTCCCATCTATATTCTAGAACAGTCTTTCCCGCCCATCGAAGTGTATCCAGAGTAGAATCACTAATAAAGTGCTATCTACTGCTCATCTTCATCCTATTGACACACACATTTCCACTTATTGCGGATTCAAAAGCCAGGATGAGGCCAATTCTAGCCTCCGTCCTACAGGACTTTGTGGACAGCATGACAGAATCCTCTTTCTGCCCTTAGCTGTCTCTTCTTTCTTTTACGCATTTCCTCTCGGAAAAAAAAAATGAGCTCTGAAAATGCTATTCAGATGAATACTGTTTGGGCTAAGAGGATCAAAGTCTCATTTACTCCATCTTCCAGTTAGAAAAGGACTTCCTCCCTCCTCTGTGGGCTGCCCCCAGCTCACATCGAAAGCATCACTGAACGAAAGCATCACTGTGTGAACCGTGTGGGGCCCTCCGCCTGTCAGGCCTGTCAATTCCAAAATTAAATTCCAGAGCCCACCTCTGCCTTGTACATCTCTCCCGGTGCAAATACATTCACTGTTGCAGACGCCCCCTGCTCCTTGCTCATACCAAGCCTTCTTCCCCTCCTTCCTGGCCTTGCCCACTCCTACCCATCCTCCAGGGCCCAGCTGCTACCCGCCTCCTCCTCTGCAGGACTGGCCAGACTACGCCAGCCTGAAGGAATCCCTCCTCCTCCAGCCCCCACAAGACTCATTGAGCTCACACACTTGCTCACTTGAAAATCAAACCTGGCTCCCGGGAAGCTACTATAAGCTGTCTTTATTCTCGTTTAACTCTTGCCTTCACAATGAACTTTCAGCTGTGTTCACTCTCCCTTCCTAACCAAGCGAAGCTCTTTGAGAACGGGAACTCCACCTCTCACAGGTCTTTTTATGATTCCATGGAACCCAGATGCTGCCCTCCACCCAGGAGACGTTCAATTCGAGAACCAGGCCAGTTCTGAAGAGCAGCGAAGGTGAGTTGCCATTGCAGGTGGGCTCCCTCCCCACCCTGCTGACGGGGGGGAAGGGACCTCAAGGGCAGTCTGAAAGGACACGGAGTGGCCACAGGGAGTCCCGCGTCACAGCAGCTCTTGGTGGTTCCCAAGTTGTTCCACTCATTCATTCATCCACCTGTTCAAAAGTCATTTACTAAAAAATACACTTCAGGAGCAGGAAGAGATAAGACATTCCCTGCCACCTAGGAAGTTCTGGCCTAACGGAACATAGGAAAAAACAGAATTACTGTCCCACACAAAGAGCCCTGTTCACAGAACGACAAGGAATGACAGCTGAGCTCTGGGAGCACTGGGAAAGCTGACCACAGAAGATCCCCCTGGGTGACTGGCCACCAGAAGGGCTCTGCCCCACAGGGTGATGACCCCAGCCCCACCTCCACACCTCAGAACCCAGAGAGGGGACAGAGAGGTCGGGAGCAGTGAAGGTGGAGGGAGGAGCAGGAGTGGCTACAGCAGTCACAAGCTCTTCTGAGGGGGCTACGTGGCAAGCAGAGCTGGTGGGGACCACCACCAACCTGGCGCCCCTACATTTAGTAACATGGACCCGGGAAGGGATGTGGAAACAGCCCCACTTCCGATGCGTTGTTACAATCGTGTGTCTCTTCCTGTATTTTTTTTTTTTACAAATGACCTACGTAGAAAAAATGGTCACCTGAAATATTTCAAAAACGTGTGTCTTTAAAATAAGAGCTTACATGGGAGTTAGAGTCAACTTCATTATTTGTGGATTCCGTAATCCCAAAGTCGCCTGATCACTAAAATGTATTTGTGACACCCCAATCAATACTCGGGGTGCTTTCACATCATCGGCAGATGTGCACAGAGAGGTGAAAACTTTGGGTCATCCGACACACAGGTTCCCAGCTGCGGCCCGAAAAGATGACATTCTGCCTCATGTCAGCTCACAGTATAAACAAATGTCCCTTTCACTGTCTAGTTCGTGCAACATTTCTCTCGTTTTTCTGCTGTGTTGTGACTTTTCTGTTTAAAGATGACCAGCGAGAACAGTCAGTCTGAAGCTCGGACCAGCGTCCCTAAGCACGAGAAGGCTGTCCCCTCGTGCACCTCACAGGGAAAAGGTGCGCTGCAGGCATGAGTCACCGCGCTGCTGGCTGTGAGTTCAACATTACTGAATCGACCATTATCAAATAAGCAGATTCTTAGGGAAAGCAAGTAAAACCAGATTACCGGTTGGTGGATGACAGGGCTGTGAGCAGAAGCTCCCGGGAACCTAATGTCTTTGTAAGAAGAGGAAAATCTGGCCAGAGACACACACAGACAGTGCCAGGTGAAGACACAGACAGAGAGGGACGATGGCCACGTGAGGTCCGAGGCAGAGACTGGAGTGATGTTGAAGAGGCAAGGACAGGCCGTCCCCTGCAGGCTTCAGAGAGGGGGCAGCCCTGCCTACACTTTGATTTGGACTTCAGCCTCCAGAGCTGCGAAGTGAACCAACTTCTGTTGTTACCGCAGCCCGAGGAAGGCACTCTGCATCAGGTCACAGGGTCCCAACCAGGACTACAGGTGAAGGCGTCCAAGGTTGTGAGGAGAAGTGGAAGACATGGCTAAGGCCCCGGGGCAGGAGGGCCTGCTGCCAGAAGACGTCAGGAACCGGGAGCCGGAGCCAGGCAGGCCCTGCAGGGTCCGGAGACCCACGTCGAGGACGATGCCTGTCATCCGAGGCTAAAGAGGAAACCGGAGAATTACGTGAATGAAAGAGAGGGTGGGTTTTATTAACAGTAAAGGTAAGTGCTGATTACAAAATCCAGACCAGTGCTTCACCCACTTAAATGTGCAGACAAATCTCAGTTCCCTGAGTCTGGGTCAGCCTTGCGATGAACAAGCTCCAAGGTCCGTGGTCTACACTGAGGAGCAAGGCTGTAGACTAACTTGCATTTTGACGAGTCACCTGGCGCTGCTGTGCGAGGCCTGGCCCCCCGGCAGACAGGCCTCCTTAGTGTCAGCGTCAGATCTGGCTGCATCGTCTGCATGTTGGCCCAACCCCTGCGCACATCCTGAGCTTTCTAACCAGGATGTGGCTCAGCTGGGCCTGACGACGGGTCACTGTCCAACCAAAAGACTATGGAAATCACACGTGCTAAATGTGTTCTCAGCCTGTAGTCAGGACTGCCATTAATTATAAGCAGAGTTTTAGGAAGAGCAACTACAGCAAGTATCTTAGCAGAAAAGGGAAACTCTCGTATAAAGGCTTCACTTATTTCAGATTCTTTTTTTTAATAGCCAGGACACGCCTGCTGATACACAAGGAAAAGCCAACCCTTTTACATGAAGGCACTTCCTCTTTTCCACTTGACTTTATAGTGAGTCCCACCTCCCTCACTGAACAGGGAATGAACTACCAGTGGTCTTGGCACATGACACAGGACAAAGGGTAGTTTGACACAGATTGCTTGTGATGATCAGAATTTGGGTGTGCACTTACAATTCTGTGAAAGAAAGCGAAGGTGGAATTCTACATGGCGCTAGTGCCAGAAACTCATCGTTTAGTTTGGCACCGAAAATACGTTTCCAGAGACGAGAAGGCTGGGATGACGGTCACAGAGGGCCGCGGGACTGAGTACTGAGCGCTGCGTGAAGAGGCTTAATTACTTGGCGTGTGTTTTCCAACCCCCACCAATGGGATTCAAAATGATAGATTGGTCTTCTTTCTAGAAGGCAAGTTGGTCAGAGGCACCCATGCCCCGGCCACATGAAACTCGAACAAAGTTGAAGGAGGCGTGGAACTGGGTGGAAAAGACACAGAGAATCAAAATACACTAGAAACCAGGGCACATCTGTGCCAGTCCTGACTTTGCCATTACCATGGCGTGTCCTTGGCTGGTCACTAAATCTTTCTAAACCCACACTTTTATCATCTAGAAAAGTGAGAAGCTTCCTAAAGATACCTTTGGAGGTTGCCTAAGATTCTAGGGACCCTTTTGTCACATGAAGGCTCATTATTCAATTGCACTTTTTTTGTGAGCTTTTAGTCTTGCGCATTGTGCTGTTTTTAAAAGTACTAACATTTTATGATTCTATAAATCTAAAACAGCAAGTATCTACCCTCGAGCCTGACAGAAGGCGCTTTCTAAAAGCAGCTACAGTGACACCTTTGAGTTCAGGGTTGGGGTCATCTTCAAAACCACGGCATGTACTATAAATCAACTCAGCACGTGGTAGCTACTTAGAATTTCACTGGCATCGGGGCCGCTACGTACAGACACGCAA